CCCTTAAGGGAACAGACTTCAATGCACGTAGAGCAGTGTGCTTCCCGTTGCTTTCATAGCTGACTCATATTTGCTGGACGTGGCTCCCTCAGTTGAAGGAGGGTTTTTCTGGCAGGCCCCAGGTTTGCAAAGAGCTGGTACCTGCGCTTTATTTCACCTCCTGTGGATGTTCTGCACATGCAAGATTGGATCAGGATTTTGAGAGGTGATCCTGAAAAACAGTCCATTATTCTTCTAGCTTTTTAATAAAGTGTTGTCTGAGTGGTCAAATGAAAAGTAATCAGAAACATTTGTGTAAATGAATAATCTGACTTTGCTTTGATGGTATTCATGAGCCTCTTGTTAGCGTTCTGCAAACACAGCTTAAAATGAAATGTTTCTTCAATAATGTTAGTGGAATGGGAAAATGTAAATAGGCGAATGTGTTGCTTCTGAGTCTTTATGGGCAGGCATAATTATGTGGCTGTGTATGGTTGTTCTGAGTTTCTTCTGTGAAATACAGGCGTATTTGGCAGGTACGAGACCACTGGTGAACAACTACAGTGATCATGACTTTGGAAGCTATGGGCCATTCATGCTATCATATTGACTTGTAATTCGGGCTAAGTCTTGAGTCCAAAGTCTCTGGGAGCCCGTACTGGCTACATACTGGTTTTCATGCTACCACCTGTCAGGAGTGAGCAAAATTCCTGCCTTTCTGCAGGCAGGAAGACTCGGACATTGCTGGAGAGACAGCTTCAAACCGCACCTCCGCTGCTGCATGCAGGATGAGCTTGGGGTCTCTTGGTCCTCTCAGCTCTGCAGACTTGAACTGAAGAGAGCACAGCTATTGGACAAGATGGACGCAGCCAACTCGTCTTCTGCTTAGAAGTGAGATGCCATGTAATTGTTCTGTCTGGGTGGGTGAAGTAATAGTCTCCGAATAAGGTTTGCAAGGGTAAGGATGGAGGAGGGGCTTTGAAGGCACTCACAGGTAGAGAGGAGTGATTGCAAGAGCTGATGGACTCTACAGGGAAGCAGGAAAAAATAAGAGTATAATGGCTTACTTGCAGAGCTGCGTCTTGGATGCTCTCCTTGGCACTCTGATTTGTCTCCTCACTACTCTCCCTACCTCACTTGGCTTTTAAGCTCCATAGAAATGGGCTACTTGCTTAAAAGCCCCAAGCCCAGAGAGCTCCTGTTCATCGTTTGGCTAGTTTTTTCCTTCCCATCATGTCCTGTATTCACTCTCTCAATTTGCAGCTGAAGGAATTCGTTTCTAGCATGAAGGATCCCATCGCTGGTAGGATGAGTTCCCATTTCAAGCTGTGCAGTAGGTGTAACTAATCCAGCATAAATGAACAGGATTTCTTCGAACAAGTAAGCTCAACAGCAGATGTTTTCAGACAATACTGTGAACTGAAATATTGTTTTCTGAGGTAACTCCTTTGAAGTGGCCTTGTGCCAGACCGGTTTGAGCAACTTTGGAAGGACTAGGCCTAGATTCTTCCAAAGATTTCTGAATCTCTAGGAAAGGGGAAAATTATTCACTACTCACAAAATATTATGTCTGATACCCAAGCTATCCAGAAATGATGTGACTCATGATATTTCCTGACTGTAGAGCAGGCTTTTTAGCTGATCTTAAGAAGAGAGCTGGCCATCTTTTGGTGCCTTGTGTGGGTTCAGGACCTAAGGAGCAGAGCAATCAAACTATCTGGGGCTTAAGCACTAAAAGTTGGATGTTTCAGGGAAGAAACATCTTAAATATAGTAACTTTTTGTGGAATTTCTATATGTCTGATGTAGTGAGAAAACGACTTCCTCTCTCTGGCTTTTTAACCCTCATACAGAGAGAAGACAGTATTGTCCCAGTGGTAGAATGTAGCTGAATGCGTGAGAAAGCAGCAGCCGATAATGGCAGCATTCGATGATGTAGAGCTGATGAAAGACAAAATAATGATGTGCCCTCTACGAGTTATTACTGGTAGTTTCCATAAAAGTTAAGTAAATGAAGTTGGAGGCTTGATTAAACCACATCTTGTCTTTCTTCTTGTGTGCCCAGGACATTACATTGTTTGCTGTGAATAGACCACCCGAGGGCTGGTCATGTGTTTTGGTCGAAATCATAGTTTTGTCAAACAAAGCAAAATACATAATTATAGCTGTTTTTATATAAAAACTATTTTAATTATTATTGTGCATTTCCAATTAGAAATGTGTTAAACAGTTGCCATTAAAAGTTTAAAAGCATCAAAACAGCAAAATGCCAGAGAATTTGTTCTATTAAAAAAAATCCTTATTTGGCTCAGTAGCAATAGAGCAGCAGGGATTTCTCTCCTCTTTTTTTTTTTTTTTTCCCTGGGGGAGGGGGAGAATTAGTGGGTTTTCTTTTTTTTTTTTCTTTTTTTTCCCAGATGAAAAATCCTGAAAGTCACAATTTTTGTCACAACAGTTATGGCCGCAGAATGAAAAAACAGCTCTTGAAGCTGTAATTACTTGTAGTGTGAGATGTGTGGTGCCTTGTTGTGTGCTTTATCTGTATTGAGACGTGTATTTCTTGGATGTATGATGCTTAGCTAGTGTATTGTTAAGTACCTGGGAGATACAATAGATGGACAGAAGTTGAGAGGGGAGAGTGTACTGTTCCTACCGAGTTGAAGGGACTCCACATATTGGGGGCGAGGGAGAAAAGAAAAAAGTATCTTTGAAAAATGGCTTTGTAGCTCATTTAGCAGAGCTCCATGTTGACTATAAACCTAGATATAAGACCTCTTTAAACTTACTTTACCCTTTTAAGGTATGTGCATGCCTACTGTGAATATCAGTTCTTGCATTCAGACCTCGAATGATCATAATCAAAGGTTTCATTCCAAATGCTCTGTGGAAATCTTCTATTTATGTTTCACGTTAGTTACTTTAAAGCCTTCTCCTCTTCTGGTGATGCTTCTCCTGTTATAACAACTCATGTGTTTACTATAGACTGACCCTGGGGACAGCCCCAGAGCTCTGTAATACTCCAACCTGCAATTTAATCTGCTCTTACTGTGGGGTTACTCTTTGTGTTGTCACCTTGATGCTGCTGTGCCCTACGGTCACCTCTGCTCCTAGACGTCAGAGACGAGAAGAGAAGCCATGCTTTGAGTTATGCCTCGGTTTCCTGGAAGCTGCTGATATTCCTTGGCTGACGTGCCTGGTAGCGTCTCCTTTGCCTATCTGCTTTTCCCCACTGCTGTGGTTTGGCTGGCTATATGTGTAAAGGGACTTGCATGCTCCTATGCAACTCTGCTGACACTGGTACACAGAACTATTCTTAGTCCAGTGGCTATATATCTCCTCGTTTGCCTGGGGCATGCTTTTTGTATTTCTTTGCTGTAAAATAGAAACTAACTTGGCCTGAACTAGGAGAAACAGCTCTTTATCTGTGCTTCTGTTGCTGGTGTTTGAAAGCTATAAAGTAGCTAGTAAGTATTAGCTTCTGCATCGCACCTGTAGCTGGAGCAGAACACAGGATGCTGTGAGGAGGAAAATACAGAAATGACTCCATTGCTTCAGATGAAAAAAAGCTGATCTCTGTACTGACCAGGTATGCAAACCGAGGCATTGCATCATTTGTGTGCAATGCCCACTTCTCAGGAGCTAGGTACATGATGAAGTCCTGTACTACTTCCGGCTCCTTTTGGACTGTCTTAAGTTTTCTCACAAACTGCTTTGGTTTTGTGTTATTGTAGCATCTAAACCCTCAGACAGGGGCCAGCAACCTTACGTGATAAGGGCAGTACAAACAGAGCAACATGTATTCCCTAATTCCAGGCATTTTACAGTCCAAGCATTAGAAAAGAGGATACCTCTGAATAAGGATCAAGAGAGGAATAGTAGGGGGAAGATTATGGCCGTATTTTTCAAGACAGTAGTTATGGGCACATTAGTAGCTCAGTCTAGGACTAGATTTTTAACGTGTGTTATAGCAACGGAAGTTTTAGTAATATACTTTTCATATTGTGTCTTTTCTTTTCTGGATTGTACCTAATGTCTGCTAGGATATTAAAATCCTTATCTCTTAGGTGAGGTGCTATTTATTTTTTCACTGGCTGATTAAGAACGATACGGAAATTTAGAAAGGGGAATACCAGACTAATGTGTGTCTCTGTTTCTCACTTTCCAAATATTTACTTGAACTGAATAGCTTCCTAAAATTTTTAGTGGATGACATTATCAGAGAGGAATCACAGGTGAGCCGATCCCAGCAGTGTATCACACGTCGTAGTTAAATCCTCGGGGCAAGCTCTGCTGCCACAAACGTCGCCGGGCGTCACTGCTTCCCCTGCGGTGAGGAGCAGGGTTACAGTGACAGAGTGCTGGGAAGGTATCAAAGGTCAGTGAAATATAGAGACTGGTCACAAAGCAGGACAGCCTGGAGCATCTTCTAAGCATGCCCTATCAGCAGCTGCTGGCAATGGAGGGTGGGAGAAAGCAAGTTTTTCTCACATGTGTCTCCTCACATTTGGGAATCCAGTGGGAAAGCACCACCAGGGATTGAACGTCTCCCCCACTGCTGCTCTCCCTACCAGCCAGGTAGGAGGTCAAGGCATCTTCCTGTCTCTGCTGACTCCTCGTGCCAGGTGGAAGGGCATTGCAGGAGCTTTTTCGTCATGAAAAAGCTGCCGCCTCATGATGCAAATGTCTTCTCGCTATCAAACACTCTGGGAGAAATTGCCAATCGTTAATTCATTCTGTTTATTATCCAGATGCACTCTTTAATAACACTGCTATTACATTTATTTCCCAAGTAACAGAAATAATCACTAAAGAGGAAAAAAAGAAAAAGAAAAAGCTTTTTGTCCACATATTTTCCCAGTTTTCCCCCTCTCAGACATGTGGTTTTCTTTGCCGAGGCGTTTGTCAGGCTTGCTTTTGAAGAAGAGCACTGTGGTCCACGGAGAAACCTAAGACTGAAGAGGTTTCTCGTGCCGACGGATTTGCTCTTGCACCTGCTGCATGTGCCAGCAGCCGTCTCGTCAATGGGACCGGGACGTCACCGTCACCATAGAGACGGCCACAAGGATACAGTTTCCAAAGGTGAAGAGAAGCTGGGAATTAGGAAGGTAAGGTTGGGTCTTTCTTTCAACTCTCATGAAGGATTTTAAAATGATGCTGTATTTGAAAGCATTCCCCAGTAGAGGGATGATCTACTGTGTATTTATGCACGTGTATATGTGTGTGTGTGTATATATATATTTAAAAATGCATGTACATATTAATATACATATATATGTATATATGCACTGTTTCAGGTAGACATGTTCATGAAAACCAAACAGTTCTTTTAAAGAACTTGCTGATGTTCTGTTTGTTCTTCAATTAATGTCTTTTACAGATGGTATAAAACAAGACTTGAGCTCTGTTTAAATTGTATTTTAAGAAACCATAAAATACTGACTGCCTCAAGATTTTATCTGTTTTGCACAGAAGCTGAGTGAGCTGTATGCTTTGTAAATTATCTTTGTATGCTTCTGCCCCTTTTCATGATCTTCTGCCATGCTTTAGCAGTGATATGGATGTAAAGCAATGGTGAATGTTGACAGGCAAGATAGGGATCAACTGTGAGTCATTGTTTAAGCATACGGGACTTTTAAAGACTGGGCTTATATTGGTCCAGAACCGCTTGCAAATAATCTGTCTCTGCCCACTGCTGCATCAGCAGACAAAACTGCCTCTCCGGATGGCTTCCCCCATCTCTTACAGATATAACTTCTTTTCAGTGGTGCAAGGACTTGTTTAAAGATGCAGTTAGCAAATGTATAATCCCCCAGCAAGTTTCTGACTCCAAATCGCTGTTTTTCATATCTTCAAAAGAAATGGTAACTTTACGGCTGTGGCTCTGTGGGGTGGGAGGCAGTGGTGGGGAGGAGTCCATTTGACAAAGCAACGGATGAATTAGTAATGAATAACTTGGGAGAAGTGAACTGCTGCAGCAAAGGTGGTAGAAGACTCATAGAGCCTGATAAAGACCTTGACTGCAGTGTTGTACAGTGCAGGCTGCTACCGAGGTGGATGAGCCTATCTTGCTCCTCTGATCTAAGGCCAGGGTGGCCAGGAGCAGCCCCAGAGCCCTCCTGATCTCTGCGTGGCTGCCGCAGCTCTAGCTGGGAGTAGCCAGAGCACAGCAGGTTTTTAACCGTGACACACTCCCTGCCTTGACAGCTGGAGGAAGTTTGGCATGGGAGCCAAATCTATGGGCTTTGTGTCAGCTTTGGGGTATCTTTCACATTTTGGGAATTCCCCACGAGGGAGGTACCACTGCAGCTGGAGCAGAGCTCAACCCCTGGGGCTGGCCACTCTGAGAGAGGCTTTTGGCAAGGATATGTGTTTTTTGCTATTTCTGGGTCTCTTTGATTTTATAAATAACTAAATGACAAGTAAAATTTCAGTATTTACCCCATGGCTGAATTTTCCTTGGGGGTGTTTGCATGTGTGCGTAATATCATTTGTATTTATTATTCCTACTGCTGTCGTCACTAGCACATTTCCTACAAACAGAACAAAAGGCACCTACCCTTTTAGCAAGCTTACAGTCCAACCACTGCGTACAGTAAAAGACAGAGGATACAGAGAGAGATCCTGGGGGGCTCAAGGAAACCCTGAGATAATATTGGTTGGGCTGCTGTTGTCAGACCCCTCCTCTGAACCATTGTAATATGTGTATGTTTGCTGCTAATAAAAGAGGTAGTTTGGGTGTATCTGAAGAAAAAAAAATCTCTCTTTACATGCAGCTGGGGTTTGCATTTTTGGGGGTGCTGTTGTTGGGACATGCAGCTAGCTGGCTGACTGGCTGATTGTATCTGATGACTACTGCAGGATTTTGTCTACCTAGACTTTACTCATTCACCTTGACTTCTGTTTCAAGAACCCTCTGACCAAATTGATTGTTGGTATCAGTATGAAAATCTGTGTTGGTGAGCTTTTAGCTTTGACTCACTTTTTGGGATCAGCCCCCGTCTCAGTTACTCTCTCCTCATTAATCATTTGTTCATGCTTTTTAAGGAGAACAGAAGCTGCAATTACATAGGATTCGGAGTTCATCCAGTTCAGATCCTGTCTCCTGTGGTGATGATCTCCACTTGTTTCAGAGAGAAGAGAAAGAAATTCTGCATTAGGCAGAAAGGAGTTAATCTGCAGTTCTTCCTAAGCTTTGATAGAAATTATGCTTTAGTATTTCTTTAATTTTTAAAAAAATATTTTTATTAATGTAACAAATGAATATTCCTATTTGTGTAATTATCCTATCCTTTTTGGAATTCTGTTAGACTATTTGTCTTCATGACATGCTTTGTCAAGTGATTCTCCACTTTAACTTCTCACAGAAAGGATTTCTTTTTAATTTTTGACTTTTCCCATTGCCACTTTGTTAAATATCATCTGACTCTTGCATTATGAGACAAGCAAATGCAGAATCCTGTTGATGTTTAAGCCTGGGCTGTCCACTGTTTTGCATACTTACTGCTTTCTTAAGCTTTTGATCCTTTGATAAACTTTTTGATCCTTTTCACGTGTGATGTTTCCCTCTGCAGTTCTCACGGCTGAAGACACTTAAACTTTTTGTGTTTTTCAGTATGTGGAATTTACTGTAGTAGGAAACAAAAGAGCAACTGAAAGTTTAGAAGTTTAACAGTTCTCTGAGAACATGACTACCAATGGAAATTATTAGGAGGCTAGCTGTCTCACCTGTCTTACCTATATTATCTGGGGGATCAGGTCTGAAAGACCGTACTGATGCCGATGCCGTTTTTGGATCACTGTAGGGCTCAACCAGCCTAGAGCTCAAGCAGCCCAGCCTAGAGCTCTCCTCCTTCTGGTACATTACATCGTTGCTCCTCTGCCAGCGGGGCTTCTTCACTACCACTCACTCTGGTTGCTCACCTCTAAAATCAGCTCTTACCATATAATATGTAGGCTTTTTCTGCTGGGGGGAGGAGGGAGCAACACCTATTCCAACAAGTGCCTTTCCTCCCCACCCACCTTTTTTATTAGGGGAGGTGTAATTCCTCTTTCTCACTACACTTGACCATCTAGGTAACATGATCAAGGCCTGTATCTGGATGCTGTGCTATAATAAGAGTTGCTTTCTTCCTGAGTGCAGCAGCAGTACTTATTTGTACCCATTTTATGCCATAGTATATCAAACGGTACAAGAGATAAAGCAACTTCAGCTACATTCCTTCCGTCGTTGTTCTGTGGTATTGCCATGTCTTGGTGAGATTTCCTGGGGTTTTCTTTGGCTCAGGCTATTAAGTTAGACCTCAATTGGCTATTTCTTTTTGTTTTGAGGATAAGAGAGTATTTATGTGAAGACATGCTATTGTGGTTGTTGCCATGTAGATAACTTATCAATTTCTTTTGAAAATATAAGCCAAAGAGGGTGAAAAAGTGATGCAGGGCATGATTTCAGAATATAGAGTTGGTTAGTACTTGCTGAAAACATCTTTGGCCATAACGATCACTGCCCAAAGGTAAGTAACGCTTTCTTTCTACGCACTTTCACTCATGAGTTTTATGCTTGGGTTTTGCAAATTGCTTCTAAGTTCAGATTTTTATCTTTCAAGTGACCTTCAAGATACTTAGAGTCTGTTTATTTTTACTTACATTCATCGTGTATAGGAGGATGAATGAGATAAAAAAGCTGTTCTGAATGCCCAGTGTTGTAATGAGGGTATATAAACCTCTTTTACATGAAGCAGTGGACTTCAGGGAGGTTTTCTCAGACTGTGGACTGAGCTGTTGACCTTCCCCTCAGGCTGGGCTCCAGTCAGTGAGGATAAATTTGTAGGCAATCCAGTCAGGATTTTTCCATGCTGTAAGGGAATAATAAGGAGCTCCAAGCTCTGAAAAGATGACTCAGTGCTGCTGGTGCTGAGTTAGACCTATCACTGTACCCATTGCCGAGGCACGCAGTCCACACCCAATTTCATCCTCTGCCCACACAAATGTGTCATCTATCTGTGCATGACTGAAGTGTTCATATCGGAAACATCCAGCTGCCAAAATTATCAACAAATTTTGTAAAAAGTTATTATCTTCCTCTGACATTTCAAATATTTTTCTCCTTTGGGTTCTTTCTGTCCCCCACTTTAGATCTGTTAAATTTTCTAAGGGATTGTGCTGTGCGTGTAGGTATGTTTGGGAGAACTGTATTTGGAAAGCTGTTTGTGAACTATGTCAACCTAAGAATACTTGTGGGAGGGAGCCACTGAGCTAAAATAACGTATAAAATAGAAATGGATCTTTATTTTTGATGAAATGTTGTCTCTTAATGCTAAGTAGTGCATCTAAAATATAATCTGGATTAGTGGAATTGATAAAGGCGTATGCTCTTCATTTGCATGAATAGTCCAGGGTTAAAAAGTGGCCTTATCTGGCATCCTATTTCATATGCAAGTCATACTGGAATCAGTTTAATTTAGTTCTATGAAATTTAGCACTGTGAAATTCATTTACCATCACAACACTGTGTAAAAGAGGCTGTGAATTCATTCAACTACTAGGAAAAAGTGACTTTCTAATCTAAAGGGATGTGAACATATGTATTTTATGGTTGTATATTACACTTCCAGATGTAGCAGAGATCAGGCCCTCGCAGGACCTAGACCAGGATTTGTGTGCATATGGGTGTGTGCGCATGCATGTCTCGGAGATTAGAAACTCAAAGCAACACTGCCGTGCGGTGTCCTAGGTCTTTTTTGAAATTGCAAGGCCTCAAGTCATCTTTCAGAGCAGTGGAGATCGGGAGTTTCCTTAGGCAAAGTGTAATCGGACTTTGTCTCAAACCAAAGGCAAAAGCCAAGTTATGGCTCGTGAGAATAGGATAGTTTCCAAGCCACCCTCAACAGAAGGAACAGAGGATACATGGTCTCCTGGTCTGGGAGAGCTGCTCTAGGTGCTGCTGATAGACCTGTCGCTTCTTAATGCTAAGCAACCTGTTACCCGTAATGAGCTGGAGGAAACAGATTTCTCTTGCAGAGCTGGGGAAAAAAGGGACTAGAAACAGAGGGAAAATTAGTTTCCCTAGTCTTCTGCCCCCTCAGAGGATGGGGGGATTCGTGTCTTC